GGGGGGCGTCATGCACTCAATTGCATTCCTGATGCGAACATGGTATATAATCCGTGTATTATTATATTGTGTATTTTTTGCTATTTGGTAATCTTTCTGTAGGTCTCACTAGCAAGGTGATGCCATCTGAATCTGAGTGGATCGCGTTGATGCGCCCCTGACTGAACATGCGAAGACAGAATGACTACCCTTGTCAACTCTTCACCATCAATCAGCTCAGTACGGGTAAGCCTACCTTCTTCACCCGAATAGAACACCCGGTCATTATCGCTGCATCTGGACCGGAAGTTGTGCCAAATACAGCTATAATGACCGGGCGTTCTATTCGGGTGAAGACGGTAGTCAAGCCTTGTTGCTGTTTCACTTCACTCCCGTAATCCATGTATACTAAACATCGCCGAGTTTCTCGTCACCAAAAGTTGTTGCAAGTTGCTGATTATTAATGACAGTGATGTCGACCACCATAGACATGATTTTCTGAAGCCCAGATGGTGCGGGGAAGCAGGCAGCATCTCTGCTTGTGCATGATGCCAAGCCCTATGTAACTGGGTTCGAGGGCATTCATGTCTGCACAGTGCGCGGGACTGAGGAACTGGGGCGTTTGCCAGTGCGAGTGATGTTGGAGTGGTGGCAACACTGAACATAGCGAGCACATTGACTGCAGGGTAGGGTATTGTTGTGGCCGCTTGACCAGAGCACATGTGGGACAATGTGGATGGGTCACGGATGGTTAGCTGGGTGGATTGATGGCGTTCGATGATGGCTAGCTTTGTCGAATGCGTTGTGGAGACAATGTTCAGGGACAGAACTTGAATTGGATACAAAGCTTGGGGATTGCACAAAAAAAAAGACACTTCAAGCTGATATCCGATGGCTGTAGTTGGACCATGACTGGTTTGGCCAGCATGATACCGTCTATCTAATTTAATGCCTATGTTATGATGTGAATTATATCTCAAGCACAAGCATGCCGCTATCATCTCTGCTCACAGGATGACCTTATGTGAAATGAATCACCAATTCACATAGCTCTCTCTCTCTCTCTCTCTCTCTCTCTCTCTCTCTCTCTCTCTCTCTCTCTCTCTCTCTCTCTCTCTCTCTC